ATGCTATGTTAGTGGGCCGCCACGAAGCCTCCATACATTGGAGTGGAAGAGATATCTTTGATCTGTTCAAACTCTCCCTGCATGGCGACTTTACCATGTTGTGCTTCGACTTTGGCCGGTACTTCCGCCACTCTACCGACGGCATCAAGCATTCTGAACATGGCCGATCTTGGCAATACTTCTCAGGCAAATTTCAGCCTTATCGCAACCGAGTCGAAGCAGTCTCCACGTCCAACCCAGAGAAGTTGAGCTTGGTTTGTCGCCACAAGTATCAGCAGAGGGTTCCGTTCCCTGCTCTCGGGCTTCGACTTTGCTCAGGAGTGGGGGCTCGGTTACAAAAGCGTCCATGTAGACGGGTTTATCATCGAACTGATTCGTAGAATCGTTAGCTACCATGGCTTGGTCCTCATCATCTATCTCTGTCGCTTTGGTGTCGGTGCTGTCTTTATCACTATTGCTGCAGATGTTGCTCTCGGTGCCGCTGCCGCTGCTGCCTGAAACGTACTCCACTGTGGCACTACCCAGCTTGCGCTCTATCATCTCGGTCTCTATTTCATTCTGGGTTGAGAAGGATGAGTCACAGTCGGGCTGTACATCCCCCCAGTCCAATTTTGTGAGGTCTACAATCAAGGCCAGCATATGGTCAACAATATCGGAGGTAACCATAGGAGTATTCGTAGCAATTTCCAAATTTTTCATCACCAGAGACCGCCGAGTCACATCAGCTTCTTCCTTGGGCGTGGTACCGTGGACTGTGAGATGTGCCGACCCTTTAGTGTTGAGCGCAATTTCCTGTTCCATAAACTGCGCGTACATCGCTCGGTAGCACGAAAGCTCGTTAGGTGAGCTCTCATTATATCCAGCTTCTTCCCGTGGCTTTCCCGCACTAACGTCGTAGTCATATTGAGTCTCTATCCAGTCATGCATCAGCCAAATGGGAAACTGGGCGCAGCCGACCTCTCGCGGCACTGCAGCAACACCATCCCAGTCAATCAAACCGCGTAGCGTTCCATCTTCAGCAACCAGGATATTCTGAATATCGAAATCGGGGTGTGCCAAGACAAAACGGGGCCCGTGTGGTTTCTTTTGGCACGCCCACTCGACGAACATGCGCAGTAAAGCATCAACACCCTTGAGGTATGCGTCATCTTCAGGTCTAGATGGACGACGGTCCAGCATGAAACGAAGAGCGGGTTTTGGATCAGCAAATGGTCCTTTCTCGCAGAAGATGTCGATGTTGTTTGGGTTTTCGTCTTCTGAATACCACATGGCATTCGCATCAACGATCTTCGCTCCTCCAACACCGACCGCTTTGCCATCAGAATCGAATACAACCGAGCCTCCATGATCCAGCATGAACAGATTAAGCTGTGCCATAGCCGCTGCAAGGCTCTGTAAAGCTCTAGCCCGAAATTTCTCGAGCTGAGCCTTTGGTTTTCCGTCTTCGTTGAACCATCCTTTGTACAGAGGTGTCCCATCGATTCGCTCCATTAAGATGAAAGGCACATGCAACTCGTTATCCAAAGAACCGTCAAATGCATACACAGCAGGAATAAGAATCGTTGTTGCTTTCTTGATCATTTGCATAGTGCGCGCTTCAGATATAAGAGCCTTGCTTGCAAGCTCACCGAACTGCTCATTATGGCCGTTGGCGGGGATTTTTAGCATCCAGCAAACGCCATCAGTAAACTCGATCGCAAAGACAATGTTGTAAGATCCCGAGAATGGTGCTGTGTTTACTTTGCAGGGTGTGAAGCCGAGTGAGGCCACTATCCTCGTGAGGTTGGTTGCTGTGGAAAGGTGGCCTGACTGGCGCACCGTAGAAGCAAACTTGGATATTGCGTCCAAATCAACGATTGCAAGGATGGATGCGAATGTCGCGCGTTCCTGTCCGCCAATTCTGATGCCATCTGCATGCCGATCCTGCTCGTTGGAATTCATCGACTTCTGTGTCTTAGTACTAGCCATGACACTGCCACTTCTTTAAGAGCCGACGATGGCGGGTGCGGACTGGTTCGAAGTTGCTGAGGATTGCGGGAAGATGCTAGATGAGTGCACTGACGCTTGTTTGTGATGTTTTGAGCTGGAGAGTGGTGAAAGAATCTGACGCAGTTGGCCGTCTTTTTGTGTACGTCTCATACAAAAGCCTTCCCGATACTGTCCTCCTGTTCAGTGAGCAGATGCCGCAGTTGGAGATATGTTTCGCTATCGATGTGCTTCAATGCCACAGTGATGTCGAGCTTGTGGTATAAATACCTACGGCGGGTGTTGTTGAAGCGCGGAGCGTGTTCTTGAAGTGCAGTGGCAAAGGTCAGACATTGAGTTTAGCGTGGAGAAAGTTGCTAATGGAGACGCGCTAGATGCAAGTTGTTATGGTTTTGAAAGTGTGTTGACTGACGTTGATAGGACTTAATACATATATACCGATTCCGAACACAGTCCCTCGCTCCCTGTCTTCTGTGAAGCCCATCACTCCTAGATTTCTCACCCCTCAAAAGTTTCAACAAAGATCTGTGACTACGCCCAAGCCATGGGTCAAAACCCTCCTCTACCTCCACCCTACCTCGAGGACAACTTGAAGCTCGCGGCAGAATTGAAAGTACCAAGGTTTGTTGGATCTTGTTGACATCTACAGATACTCTGCTGACAATTATCCGGTAGACGCCCAAGCGGACATGTATCAATGAAGAGCCACCACTGGTACTGCCTACATGAGAGACTCACAGACTTTCATCGACAATCTCTGATCAATTGTTTAGTGGAAAATGTCACGGAGTGTTCAAACAAACATGCATCGACGCCAAGCACATGGTCCTTTGCCTCAAACACAAGACGTATTCGAAATGGGAGGGCCAATGTCCACCATGCGAGCGAGAGTGGAAGACTCAGGAAAAGGAAATAAAGGAAGCAGAAGCCGCTCTGAAAGCCGACAAGGAACAGGAGGAGGCGCAGGCTACGAAGATAAGTAAGAAGACTAAAAAGACGGGGAAAGATGGCAAAAAACTGGGTTCCAAATGTGTGCCCGGGTGGGTGGAAGCGAAGAAAGGGGATCGCAAGTAGTGGACCCTCAATCTACATCCTGTCTTTTCCAACAGTGGATCAACATGGAGACGACGGAGACTGTCGTGAACCCCTATATTATTCAGTCCTCCTTATTACTTCCCTCACACCGCCAGCAACTATAAGATTGAGAAAGATCCAACTCCAAAGTCGGAGGTTTACGTACCCACAACCTGCTTAGTGTTCACAGCAAGATACCCCCTGCGACCCTGGCACGCTGGGCAGCCGGTGTGGTCATTATTCATCCACAGTGGGACTGGGGGTTGGTGGGTCTCATGATATAACCGCTTTTTTCACGCATGTGGCTATAGCAGTAGACACCTATTCATCATGGCCTATATAGACATCCCCTCATCAACCCCTACACAGACACCTCTTCTGCACCAGCAAGTGGCTGTTCATTCATATTCATCTCTTTCTGAACCATAGTATACTTTGACCCACCCATCCGCGCTTGTACATGACTAGACTTCCACTCCAGATCTACGTCGTACAGACATAACACTTTCCCTACGCTGAACTACGAGAATATGCCTGTTCCGACCTCTGTTCGGACTTCCTTAGACTTACCATCCCCGGCGTGAGATGGCACAACCACTTGTTCACATCCTACGTGGGAAGTATATGTGTGAGTGGGTGGGATATACGTTTTTCACACATGGAACAACTAAGTTGACATTTACTTGGCAACAGGCTTCGTGGATATCGATGGATTTTTTTTTGATAATTAGCTCTCTGTCTTGTTTGTCCAGGCCACATACAAACGAATCTTCAAGCAACACTGTTCGCTTCTCCTCTGGAGCTTTCTCGAAATAAGAAGGTTTGACCATATCTTTCTAGGCTCTTGATTTGGGTAAGTTGCTATTCACGGACCCTGTAGTCTGAGTAATTACCTCAGAGTGGCGAAAGGTTTTTGTGTTACGCTGAATAAGAGTTTCAGTGCCACAGTATGACCCCATGACCTGGCTCTCGACACCTATGTGTCGATTACGACTAGGTCCTCTTCTAGCGCCTTGATGTACAATATATATTGCACTCCATAGCCGCCATTAAAATTTCTTTGTATTACACTACACACATACCAACGCAGTTATAGCTCGTCAGTAAGAAACAAGAGGTAGTGTCCATGGTGCCGAGAAATTGAATTGCAAAACTTACTGAGACATTAGGTAAATATATAAACATAGTTATGGCATCTCGTGCACGGCCGCTGCTGCCACAGGGAACACTCACCACCCTTCTACTTTTCCACTTCCATTAGAGAGAAAAAATCCTACAACGGAGCTCATTATCAAATCTCTCAACAACATTCGCCACGTCTTTGAAGTTTGCATCCTCTCTTCCGAAATTGGCTCCTGCGACCCTCTCTGATCTGTTCAGAAGGTATTAAGGCTTGTCTCACCCATAACTCATCCTCGAGCTTTGATGCTAACATGATGTAGCTCAAAACGCCTTGACCTAAACACGACAAACACTCAAAGGACGTCAAGACGTACTAGGGTATGGCACGCCTTACAGACTTATTCCGGTCCCTGTTGACGTTACCACGGTAGGAAAGAGAGATAGCAGGAGCCATCACCGGTACGATTACAAGAACACCGAAAATCGGATGCTACCCAACTATTCCGAGCTGGTGTGGCAGTACCAATATCCACTTCTTGCGTTGAGATACACCACTTGTACCAGTGCCGGATCCACCCCAACCACTTTTGGAGAAAAAGTGGTAAATGCATAGAATCCATGGACGAATGGGACCGAAGGGAAAGAGCACAGAGGGAGCAAGATCGCGTGAGGAAGCTAGAGAGGAAGGCTAAGGACGCCGGTAACGCTGACTTCGCGAACACAAATAATGATAACCAGAGGGAAATCATCATGAAGCCCGAAAAACCTCGACAAACAGCGACTGCCAAAGCCGGGGTAACTCAGAAGTCACGAAAGTGGCCAAAGAGGGAGAAGCAGCAGGTCTCCGGGGCACAGTTGGCTCCAGAGGGTCGCAAAGGAGAAAGGAAAGGGCAAAGCCAAGACTCAAGCAGTGTTGGAATCAGCCAATAGGAGGCCAGCATGGCTACACTACTAAGTTCCAAATAGGTGTTATTACTACTCCTCATGGTGGCAAAGACACAAGTGGCAAATAGCCTTAGTGTGGACTTCACACCATAAATAGATAGTCAACCTCCATTCTTCTTATATACTTTATAGAATATCACAATAGAATAACTATTCTACATGCTATGAGATTACTGAATGCACACATTATCCAATAAGCAGGATTTGGCAGCAAGCGAATAGTACTACGGATGCTTAGTATAGAGAACCATGGCTTTTAAGCATGTTTGAGCAAGGGTGCCGCATTTATTACTTGTCTGGGGAACGCGCTTGTGAACAGCACCTACCTCCTCTCATTCGACACTTTCAACGCCTTAGTGTACCACGAGGAGCCTGTATCTGGAGTGATGGAAGACAGCATTATTTTGTTAGATCTAGAAATCTTGGGGTTGCCTCTAAGCATGACTTTTGAATATTTGCACTCACATTTTCTTCCAAGTCCATAGTATAGAGTCCTCAAAGTATAGAACTCAATCTGCAAGCATGAGCATTAGTATGAACTTGCATCATCTCTATCCAGACCAAAACGCGAGGTATGCTCTTACATGGGATAGTTATCCTCGATTCGTGATTCTTGGTCTTGTCGACGCTTGTAGAAGATCTAGTAATTTAGACAGCGCCCGAGAAAGATTGCCTCAATGGTCTAGCTATGTTATTGAGCCTATGTATGCAAGCCAATCATCGAGTCTGAATACAATCATGACCATAGGAATCTCTCTCGCTGCAAAGGAAAAAAAGAAATACCCTGTCTCTACCATTTTCCATGCTTCTAGGCGCTTTGACTCGCCAGAGCCAACTGAGCTTTATGCCGTCCCCATATATCGTATGTAACCGCTTCACCATCTCGTGAAGAAAGACCCTACACATCGCCAAACTCCTTGGAGTCCACTACCGCGTCTCACATTGCCCTTGCTAACGACCCACGACGTGATGGCCTCCAGCACTTGAAACGCTCCTCTTTATGCCTTAGAGTGTTCACCTCCATCCCCACCTTCTTCGACAGCATGTGACTCCCCCCCAAACCCTTCATCGAGCCTCAATACTGCTCAAGTAGCATCAAAAACCCCTCTTTCAGGCGTAGCAGGCGCAGCTCGTCGAGTTCCCCCATCCCTAGGAGGTTGCAGACGGTGTAGCGATCAAATCCGCCATGATCCTCGAATTCAGGTATGCCTGAGTCACCCAAAGATTCAACCCCTTCGTCGCCGCCAGCTTGATCCTCATGGCCGGATTCAATGTTCGCATCTCCTTCATCTCCGCCGTCATCGTCATCTATCATTTCGGCGAGTCGTGCTTTGTCACTTGTTGTAGTTGTGCTTCCAACCTTGGTTGGTTTGTCGAAATTCTTTGCCTCTACCCAATCTTCAGTGCAGGGGTCATACGTCCTTCGAGATGCGCAAGGCTTGATGAGCCCGTCTTCCTCGCGCGAGCCTTTGGCGAATGACGCATGCTTGTGGTGGTTCGTCTGTCCCATCGCTTCGTTTATTCTACCTTCTTCGCGTCCCTCTTCGTCAAACTCTTCGCCATCTTCATCTCCACCGCATCCACCTCCGTTGCCTTCGTTGGTAGCAATGACTGCAAATTCTGGCGTATCATCTTTATCTTCCTTGATTTCATGGTTCTCTTCATCATTGACTTGGTCGTCACTTAGCGAAGTGGCACTAGAATGATTATCTTCGACGTCGCTTCCTCCTTCTTCTTCATTACCACTCTCACTGGTTACACTGCTTTCTTGAGACAAGCACCCTTTGTTTTCCTTGGATTGGTTGCGGTTAAAGAGGATCTGCGTGAAGTACGACGTCCCAAACTTGCAAAGAGCTCTAAGGCTGTAAGAGATTTTAGCGGCCGCCGGTAGCACACATTCTCTAGACGTAGATGAGGACCCGGACGATGTCTGCGATTCTCTTACTTTGGTGAAGTCTCTAGCCGCTTCTTCGTGGAGCATCTTGTTCTTCTGCCCGACGTTGAACCCAACAGCAAAGTCATCTTCTTCGGGTGGTACTTCTGGTTGGTTCGTTGAAACAGAATTGTTCGGGAGAGTGTTGAATGCAGACCATTCTGATGAAGAAGGATTCTCTTTTCCCAATGCAGGCAACGTCTTGTCCCCTTTAGCTGTCGTCGGCTTTTTCGTTCTCTTCTTACCATTTGACTTCGAGGTACGGGAGTCCCGAGGAAGACACAACCCAGCTTGAGGCTGTGGTGTGGACAGAATGGCATTGGGCGACTCTGACTCATCTTTGTTGTCTTTGAAGATTTCGAAGACGCTGTTCTCCGGTGCACGAATAGCTTGACATGTGGTATTCGAAATTTTCAAGTAAATCCGGTGAGCCTTCGACTCAAGTCTACTATTCTCTGCAACACCGGGAATGGTGACCTTGGACGCCCTCGACGGCTCATCGCCGTTGACCTTCGCGGTCTGTGGCACGTCTTCTTCTAGCCGGACTTCCTCTGGTTCCCCTTTTGACTGCATGGAATTGTCTTCAAGACGGCTCAGAGCAGCTGCACTGCTATCTACCATCTCGGCGGCGGCAGCGGTTACTTCAGTCGCTGATGGGAGATGAGTACTCACTGCTAGACCATCCTCATGCTCTTGCTCCGAGCGGATCATATCGACAACCGAGCTAGCAATCTTGCCCTGGTTCAGTTGGAGCTGCTCGAGAGAAATACCGCGACGCCAAACCGCAAGAGCAATGTTCTCCCACACTTTTAGCTCTTTCTTTATTGCCGCTTTGTCAGCAAGATAATGAGCCTTTCTTTCCGCCTTCTTCACCGCCCTCGCTGCTTGCAGGAGCTCAGCCTTTCGTAACAGAATGTCTTGCGGCTCTACGGTGGGTGGGATAGAGGCAGATCTTTTGATCCTGTCTGAAATGATAACCGTTTGAGTTGATGGGATTTTCTGTACATCTGCAGTGGACCCGATCGACCCAACGTCGTTGAGCTGCTCCGGCCCTCTCGTATCGTTAGTTGACAGGGTGTCTTTGAGTTGCTTCGTTCCCATCTCTTCAGAAAGCTCAATCGCATTTATTTGCTGTGGAGTGTCGAGCTCCCCCACCTTCCCAGTATTTTCTTCCGCAACAGTCACGGCAGATTGTACTCCGGCTTCAGATGATAGCTCTGCGGCTTCGTCAACGGCAATTTCTAGGGCATAGCCGATCTTTGCTAGTTTCCTCAGAGATTTCTCTGCAGTGTTGCAGCCAAATCGAAGGAGTCTGCGTGTCCAACCTAGATGAGCTGATGTCGTGGAGCAGTCTTCTTCAGGATCCACTTTGGATGCTTTGTGCGTCTTGGATTTGCCAACGTCTGTTTGAGACGCCCCCAAAGGGGCCGGGAATACTCGATCCTGTGCCCCTGCTCCCCAAGAGTTGTTTATGACCTTGACAGTCACTTCAGGCACAGTGAATTCCATCTCTTTAGATTCCTGGTCTGCCCCATGAGCAGAAACACTCACTCTCATACCAATCGAGCCTTGCTCGTCTGTTTCAGGAGCTTGGGGTTCTGTATCTTCTTCTTTGATACTACTGTCAACACTCCTGCTAGAGTCACTGTCAGAGTCACAGCCACTGGAAAATGAGGAAATGGAATCTGTGTCCTCCCATCCAGGAGCTGTCAGTTCCTCGATCTGATCGATAATGTGATTCACAGTACCCAAAGCAACCCAAGGGTCACCTGCTGAAAGATCCAGGTTCCTCATGATCAAGGATCTGCGTGTCAAATCGGCTTCCTGCTTTGGTGACGTTCCGAAGGTAGTCCTCTTATTTGAACCACCGGTCATCTTCTCAATCTCCACTTCCATCAAGTGGGCGTACAAGGCGCGATAGCTTGCAAGCTCTGCAGGCGAGCTCTCTTCGTATCCGGCGCGTGTACAAGCTCTTCCTTTGTCTATATCGTACTCATACCGTAATGGCACCCAATCGCGCATCAACCATAGCGGATACTGGGCGCATCCAACTTCACGGGGCACGGCTGCGACTCCGTCCCAGTCAATCAAGCCGGTCAATGTACCGTCTTCGGCTACCAAGATATTTTGGACATCCAGATCAGGATGGGCGAGGACAAAACGTCGGTCATGATCTCGAGAATCGGCAAAAGCCCAATCGATGAACAGGCGAAGAGACCTATCGGTCCCCCGCTCATATGCATCAGCTCTGAAAGCAGGGTCAGATCTGTCTAGATTGGACATGAAATATTCTTTCGGGTTGCTGAATGGGCCACGCTCGTAGATGATGTCATCATCATCACTCTTGTCGGCGTTGATCTGACTACACCCAAATGCGTTAGGGATGCTGGATTTGGCTGCTTCGACACGAAGATCATCGGGGTTGCTCTCGTCGCCCTTGTCGGAGGTTGTTTGATGGACCTGAGATGCTCTGGCCTTGTTGAATATAGCTACTCCATCCACTACCTTTGCACCACCAAGACCAACAGGAGTACCATCAGTATTGAAAACAAGAGAACCACCAGTATTGAGGGTGAACTTGTTTAGCTGCACCATAGCTCCAGCAAGGCTCTGGAGGGCTTTGATACGAAAATGCTCAAGACGAGCCTTCGGCACCTCGCTATCGAACCACAGATGATATAATGGTCTACCATCCAGCTTCTCCATTAGAATGAAGGGAGTCAAGAGATCGTTATTAGAATATGTATCGAATGCGTAGACTATTGGGACTGGTATGCTGGTCTCTCTTCTAAGCATCTGCATAGTCCGTGCTTCGGATGCCAAGGCAGCAGCAGCAACGGAGTCGAAGTGATCGCCTTTGGCGGGAATCTTGAGCATCCACTTCGCTCCATCCGCGAATTCAATGGGAAAGACGATATGGAAAGATCCATAGAGAGGAGGATTGATGACCTTGCAGCTGATCGAGCAAGGCTCAGACAGACCCTGGATAGGGCTACTGACTGTAGAGTAATGGCCGTACTGGCGAACGTTAGATGCGAAGTCGGGAATCTTGTCGAGGTTCATGGTTCGCAATATTCTGCCGAAGAGATTCATTTCCTCTTCGTATAAACCAAGCATGCGGATCCGATCATTCTCATCACTGGAGCTTGCCATGTCTGAAACGTTTGCGTTGAGGGTGTTGATAGTCATGTCCATGAACACGTCAATGCACGGCTCCGAGCTCTTGTAAGCTATCAGCAATGGAGATTGTCTTGGTTGAAGCAAGGTAGACTCACCGATAAACATACACAAAACAGTTTGCAAGCCCCTGTTGTGCCTTGACGTGAAGAACCGGATCGAGCACCGCGTGGTGTAACTCGGTATCGGAAACAGTTTTGGGAGCAGGGTTGGGTATATTGGATTAATGAACCTGATCTTAGCGTGGTGCGATTTGCAAGTGCAGGTATCCGTCTGTTTGTCTCTGGTGTCTCACATCTGACGGCCGTCAAAGATTGCTCTGCGCTACTACAACAGCGCTCACAGACAGACTTAGCGTCAGTGCCAGCTTTCACTGCTCTCCTAGCATCCAGGATATGTCGCTAGATAGGCTCAGAATAAGAAGACGAACAGGATTTTGATGTCAGAAGTCAAGTGCTTAGCGTGTTGGGAAGCTTGTGTGTTGGAAAATTGGTGTGTTAGGAGGGAGCCTAGAGTAGAGTAAGCGGGAGTGAAATGAAACTGTACATGGGTGGTCAAATACAGCTGTGTTGAAATGACCAATACGCGGGGTAAATATATACACACAGGCTTAGCGTGTTTCCTATGGCTCTTGATGCTCTAAAATCGAGCAAGGTTCCTTACCTCGACACCTCAACCCACACGATCCACCTTTCAAGATAGCCTCCTTCACCAAGAGGTTCCCTTCAACAAGAGGTTTCAACAAGCCTCCTGTCTCATTCAAGCGTTTCCATCAACTCGTTGGGGGTCCAACAGTATCGTTCAAAAGAGGTACCCGCCATCCTGTCTTTCACTACCACTTTCTATCGAAAACACATCAAAGTCAGCGATCCTTGCCTCCTAACATCGAGTTCGACTGCTGACATGTATCAGTTCAAAACATCCGAAGGACACACAACAAAGTTGGTCATACCATTAATTGTCTATTATGAGCATTCTGCTGACATGCTCGAGCAGTCTCAACCCAATCATACAAGAGTATGAAACATACTACTCGCTCCCAGGGTGACCTTGCTGACACAAAAGAGGTCCAGATTGCTAGCATGGGCGTACATAGTCCTCATCACTGGTACGGCAGACAACACCCTGTGATGACTCTGTATTCAAGACATTGCTGACCACAATTAGTCCCTACTGCGGCAAAAACGCAGTGCCACGGTGCGTGGAACTGGAGCATGTGTTCCATTGTTCATACCATCCAGAGGTATACTGCCTTGACAAGGAAGGGAAGACATGTGTCTTGTGTGAGGAAGGCGAGAGACGATTCGAGATGAACCAACTAAAGGTGAAGAGATCCGTTCGAGACGCACAAGTCGCGGCAGCTCTCGCCGCCAGAGCAGATACTATGGCGACGGGAAAGGTCCGGTGGGATGACAAGCTTCCCACCGTTGACAAGCTTGCGAAAACGGCGGCCAAAAAACCTCAGCAGGCTCTAAAAACGGGAAACTCTCAAAACATGGAGTATGGAATAGCGGAGAAGATCTGGAAGGGACCCAAAGGAAAAAGTCCGGCAAAGGTTCAGCATACGGAAGCAATCAAAGCCGACGAGACTTTCCAGGCCGAACAATACAAAGCAAAGGTCAAACCCAAACTCCGAATTCAGCGAGGACGATGAAGCATGGCGGTCAATGGGTAGCCATCTGCCCCTACTTGTGAGTCATCTTACCTTAGTTGAACACAACAGACGCTGACTCGTTACTACACCAGCTACCAGAGAGATCCAGAGCAATGCCAACTAGGCGTAGTGCGTGGCCACTTTAGCTTTTGTGATGGACCAAACACTTGTGCATGCTCATACGAGTAGTAAGACGCCTGTCGCGTTGGTTATGGTCCGGACGGATCCTCACTTGCATTACACCATCTCTCATTCGCTTCTTTCGATGTTTGGTATACAAGAACTTGTTATCATGGAATCAGCGAGCAGTTAGAGTGAGCATTGCTTATTGAACAAGTCTGTGCGTGGTCTGAGGCGGACTAGCAAAGGTGAGCAGCTGATGAGAAGGTGGAACTGCTCTGTCGGGTATAATAGATTACCAGCACGACTGTTGTACTCATAGCCCTTGTTATCTCCTTCACACAATGAAGAATTAACCATTCGACACTGGTCAAGCTCCATGCCTCCTTTACAAGTTGACAGAGCGTCCTGACACCACTGAGGAGGGAAGTCAATGTCGAAATAAGGTTCCCAGCCTCCTCCTGTTGGAACAAACACCTGATTTGTGTGGGGTACAAGTACTGGCCCAGGGGAGTCCTCAGATAGAACAACTCATGCAACCTACACACCACTCACTCTACTTAACCTGATATTCTGACAGTCAACCCCGCAATAACGAAGCACAAAAGATCATCATTGCCTTTTGGCTTAGGCTAGATGCTCTTGATGGAAGCTATAGTATACGATATCCTTGATGGAAAGGCGATCACTCGAGATAGGTAGTGGTTGTTGAAGTTGTGAGTGTGAGGTTGAAATTGGCTCCCTGGTGTGCCGTAATGAAAGATCTACAAGTCACGTGACTGCAATTTCCCCCTGCACAAATTTCCTCACAGTATCGACAACCAACTTGAACATTGGCACTCACCATACGCTATTTCTCAGATCAGACTGTACGACAACTATCATGTTTTACTTAGGGAAAACTTGGGCTCGAGAAACAAATTTACCGAACCATTGACGAAGCGGCTAGCAAAGTTGCCTAGAATTCTATGCATACAGCTGCCGACATTTTTGCACTCAAGTAACTCAACAAAAGGCTTGACCAAGACTCCTCTGCCGCAACCAGGAGGCTCGAAGCGCCCTTCAAACGAAGCCCGCGCTGCTCACAATGTTTGGTTCAGCAGTCCGAAGAAGCCGTCTCTAAGTCGCTGCATCCGCTGCTCCTCAAGACCATCAGTCGCAAGGGCGATGCAGACATCCAAAAGATCAAAAGCTCCTGTGTCCACTTGCTCGGAGTTGTCCGGCTTTGGACTAACCGCGGCTTGTGATACCTGGCTTCATTCCTCGTCGAAGTTCGTCTCTGCAGTTTCTGTCGCAAGATGATCGCTCTCACCAGACAGCGACCTACAGGCTTGACCCATAGGCACAATATTGTTCTCTTCAGCATCCTGAAGCCCAAGTCTTCCAATACCTTCGTCTCCACCTTGACCATCAGTACTACTTCCTCCTCCATCTTCATGACTTTCTTCATATCCAGAGTCATTTCCTAAATCGAAATCTCCACCATGCTCACCCCCTTCGTGGCGTTCCGCCATCCCATCTGCAGGGCCATATGTAGGACCCAGGCTCAGGTCTGAAAAATCTGGGCTCTGTAGCATCTGAATGATCCACTGGGCAACGGCAACTTGTTGATCCACCGTCAGGCAAAGCTTGTTATCTCGTACCACGTGAGAAAAATTTTCACAGACGGTTCGCTTTTCAGCTGTTGTGAGCTCTTTGGATATGCTTGTGACCTGTTGATTCCGCGAAGCTTCCTCTTCGCCGCCTTCAGAGCCCGTGGAGTTGTTATTCCCCTTGCGATGCAACTTCTGTCTCAATTGCTTGAGTTTTTTCTGTAACCGTTTCAGAACATCGATTCCCCCGTTTTGCACCGCCTCAATCTTAGATCCGATTTTGTGCTGATCGTTATCGTCGCCGTCCCAGTGCAAGCAGTGAGCCACTCGCCGCAATCTCTTCTCAGTCCAGCCACAGAAGGTTCGGGCAGCTCTAACAGGCCCAGAGCTTGGGGGCAATGCTGTATTGGAGACAAGGTCCTCCTTTTTAGGCTTCTTGTGGAGGCGCTTCGCTCCTCGTTGCATCTTCTCCTTGAGCCATCCATAACCGCGAGCCGCTCTAGGGTTAGGAGCTTCCTTGGCATATTCCACTCTGCACATTCCTTGACGCTCAGTTCCGGGATCTGGTGTCTTATCCCCAGCTGGGAAGGTATCTTGAAGTTCTGCCGAATCCTCTGTAGATTCAAGATTTGGATTGCCGGCCGATGACATATTCATAAGCTTCTCTATCTCGTCCATCAACTCGTCTATTGATAGGTGCTTAGTATCGACTACCTTCTCTTCGGATCTAGCATTGTGAACGCATGACTCCTTCCCCACACCATCACTGTTGTCCACATCGCTCGCCTCGGTGTCTCCATCTTTGTTGCCACCTTCACTACCGTCTTGTTCTCCAGAATCTGCGGTCGATGACTCTTCTTGCCACTGCGCAGCCGTGATCTCTTCGATCTCATCGAACAAGTGCACCATCAGTTTCTGCATCTCAGACGGTGCTCTTGCCGCAAGATGCAGAGTAGTAGTGATCAGAGATCTTCGTGTTATGTCAGCCGCCTCCTTGCGTGACTTTCGAACGCGCGCAGCGTGCCGACGGCTCTTAGCCAGGTTCATCCGATCATTATTTGAAAGATATGACTCCATGAACTGTGCGTATATCGCGCGGTAAGAGGCGAGTTCTGCTGGTGAATCGGCAGCACAGCCTTCCATGGGTTCGCCAGCTTCCACATCGTAAGCATAATTTCCCGCATCGTAATCTTGTGTCAGGAACTTCGGGAGTGATTGAGGTCCAATGCAATGGGGTACAGCGGCAATCCAGTCCCAGTCGATGATACCAGCGAGGGAACCATCGTCATTGACGAGAATATTCTGACTGTCAAGATCGGGATGGGTCAGAACGAACGGCTTCTTCTCCTCCACAGTGCTTGCATCCATTAGGCTCCACTCAATCAAGAGGCGCAGTAGCTTATAAGCGCCTTGTTCGACTATGCCGCGCTCGCCTTTTTCCTTGCGAGCATCAAGAAAAGACAGCAAGTAAGCTTTTGGATCTTTGAATGGTCCATTTTGGCGGAAGGCCATGGTATTGTCATAGTCCGCCGAGCGCATGTTTGCATACTGTGCCTCGAGATCGACTATGTTCGAACTACCAATGCCTACAACATCCCCTTTGGCATCGAAAAGAAGCGAGCCACCCTGACTGAAAGCCAATGAGTTGAGTTGCGCCATTGCTTCAGCGATGCCGTGAAGAGATCTTATGCGAATTTGCTCTCGCTTAGCATGAGATATCTCCTGATCAAACCACACATCTTGCAAAAGTTTCCCATGAATATGCTCCATGAGTATGAATGGGCATCCCAGCTCATTCTCGAGAGAGGCGTCAAAGGCAAAGACTTCTGGAAGCGGGATTGTAGTTTCACGTCTTATCAGACGCATTGTGAATGCTTCAGAGGTCAACGCCTCACCCGCAGGTGCATTCCAACTTTGCTGGTGCCCATTCGCCGGGATCTTAAGAACCCAGAGAGTCCCATCGGCAAACAAGATCCTGAACACGGCATTATAGGAGCCGCAGCTAATGTGAGATAGGAGTCTGCAACCAACTGGTCGGGGAGTAGTCGGTACGTCGATGGTACCCGTGGAAGCGTGACCTGAGTAACGAACTGCAGATGCAAAAGACGGAATGTTGTCTCGCCTCAAGTTCCGCAGTACAGTTGCGAACCTAGCTTTATCAAAATGGTCTTGATCCGAAGAGTCCATAACTACCGTGGACAACTCTGTGTCGTTGAAATGGAGAAAGAAGAGGAGGAGTCGATCCGTCGGCTTCACCAGGTATGAAGGGAAGGAATCCAGGACCTAGCAGTGGATAGCCGGCTCGGCAGACTGCTTGGGATATAGTGATAGTTTCGAGACTTCTAGACCAGTCTGTTATTTTGTGAAGGGTGTTGACAAGACAGTCTTTCTGGATTTACCACAGACTGTGTGTGTTGAAAGTCGTAAGACTTGAGCTGTGTTGATGGTTTTCTGCAACCTCAAGAGGATTGAGTCACCGAATGGAGGATGCTAAAAGAGCTCCAAAAGTCAGAAAACCTTTGCAGGGCAGCGAGTTGGCCGAGGAAAAACTCACCGAGAGCGATCCAGTGTTTCCAGAGGGATGGTGAGACTTCGATGCCTGCCAGATACGAGCGCACAGCTGGCCGTTTCGGAGGGCTCGAGATATTTGCTGAAACCCTTGGACTTATCAGAATAGACCTTTGCGGGCAGAAGTGTGTTTTGCGTTTGAGTTCCGAAACGGTGTCGAAGTGGTGAGAAGGAAGGAAGGAAGGGAATCCGAAAACGCTGAAGATATATTTGCTAGAGCGACATAACACATCCTCCGACTATTCCACTTATGCTCAAGCAGTGTTGACGCAGCCTACCTGCGAGATAGCACTATTGAAAAGCCAGAGATCCATGCAACCTTTCTTCTAGCCAATTTATCGACTTTCATAGACACCATCTCTTCCCACACAACTAATCTCAATCCTCAACACAGCCATCCTCCAAAACTTCTACACTCTCCTCAAAGTGGGTATGTAGAGGCCTATCCGCATGGGCGCAACCGTCAATGGCAGGTAACAGGTACTCGATTTCTCCATCTCCGACTTCCATCGGCGTCCGCCCGGGGATTAGGCGTTGGGATGCGTAATCACGGATTGTTCGTGTACAAGGGTTGTTATGTACTCTGGATACTTGATGTGCTGTGGGTTGTTTTACACAATGATGCATACGGCTGAACGTCAAATTTCAGCCGAGGGACGGTCTGCTTGGCGAGAAGGGATGTGATTATGACTAACAAACAGCTTTTGATTTAGCATGGTA